TGGACTGAAAGTACATGGCCCTCTCCCTTTCTGATTTCACAAGCGACCTCAGGAGTTAGCCAGCCCCTGCCATGCTTAGGGAAACACAGCACGTGGTGGTTCTGGTGGCCTAGGAGCAACTCCACCCACTACTGTGGTCAATTTGGGTCATTCTGGCTTTCTTTTAAAGATAGGAAATTAAGAATCCCCCCCCCCCCAGCTCTGTCACTGGGGGAAGGGTTGAATTTCAGCATGCTGCAATGGCTTTAAACCAGTCTGTGCGCCAGATCTGTGCCTGGCCTTCTGCACCAGGAGTGGGGGCCTGGCAGTCTGGTAATAATAAACCTATGTCATTTTGCTGTTAGTGTGACGTTCCTACCACCAGTCATGCTGCGGGCTAGTCTATTCCCTACCCTAGAGGGCTGTCCCCGCCTTCCAGCACCTGGAAAAGCTTAGTGGAGCTGAAGAACAGTGAACAGCTGTAACCAGTGACTCATCAGTTTCAGGAGTAGAAAATATGTGATTGTACTCTGAACCACACTTTAGTAGATACAGTGGTGTGACTTCCCACAAACCCACCTCCAAGTCTCTCAAGCTCCTCCCTTATGCTATTTATTCTTGTATCTTCTTTTCCTTCTTTTTCTCCTGTCCCCTTCCCTCCCCTCCCTTTCTCTCCTTCCCCCCCTCCTCCTCTCTCTGACAGAGTCTGAATCTTGTCGCCCCAGCTAGAGTACAGTGGCATCATCATAGCTCACTGCAACCTCAAACTCCTGGGCTCAAGCAATCATCTTGCCTCAGCCTGCCTAGTGTATGGGACTACAGGTGCAAGCCACCATGCCTGGCTGATTTTTTTATTTTTTGTTGAAACAGGGTCTTGCTCTTCCTCAGGTTGGTCTCTAACCAACAACCACCTCAAGCGACTCTTCCACCTCAGCCTTCCAGAGTGTTAGGATTATAGGCGTGAGTCACCTCACTCAGCCTGTCTTCTTTTTCTGTCTTCGTTTTCCTCCCTGTGTTGCCCTCTGTCCCTGCTTCCCCACCCAGGAGTCTGTCTCTTTCTCCTCCTGCTCCCCTGCATCTCCTCTGGTCCCCTTCTGGTCCCCTCTCCCTTGGGTCCCTCACCACTCTCCCTTCTCCAGCCTTTCTCCTATGGTAGTTTCTTTCTTTCCTCCCTCAAAGGCCATGTGTAGAAGGGAGGCTTTGTGCCAGGTATTTGGGTTTGATACAAGAGCTTTTTGACTTGTTCTTTTTTTTTTTTTTTTTTAGGCTAGAGTGAGTGCCGTGGCGTCAGCCTAGCTCACAGCAACCTCAAACTCCTGGGCTCGAGTGATCCTTCTGCCTCAGCCTCCCGGGTAGCTGGGACTACAGGCATGTGCCACCATGCCCGGCTAATTTTTTTTTATATATATATCAGTTGGCCAATTAATTTCTTTCTATTTATAGTAGAGACGGGGTCTCGCTCTTGCTCAGGTTGGTTTCGAACTCCTGACCTTGAGCAATCCGCTCGCCTCGGCCTCCCAAGAGCTAGGATTACAGGCGTGAACAAGGATTGACTTGTTCTTAATTTAGGCAGCAGGTGAGCCACTCCCAGGTGACTTCTTTTCCCTGGAGTCATTCTTGTCTTGGAAGTGTTACCTACAGCTGCTAAAGACTTCTGCCCAATCAGGTAGCTAGGATTTCCTTCATTAAGTGACCTTTGTTAGGTGTTGTACAAGTTTCATATTCTCACAGTCCTTGATACTTGTTAACCCTCTATGAGCATCAATTCTGTGGGCTTTCCCGGTTAACATGCATCATCCATCTTTAACAGAAATGCTGTCTTAGTAGCTCTCTTTCACACTTACTGAGATTGAGAGTTGGTGAGTGCAGACTGTTAGAAGGGCAGCCCAGGATGGGAGAAGAGTTTTGCTGGGCAGAAGACTGTGTCCCGATCCGGTCCTGCTGGACGCCTCGGGCAATCAGCTCGCCCTGCGATCCTCAATATCCAGCCTTAGTTGTTGAGTGGATTAAGTTGTTTAGTGAAAACACCTTGAAAGTTGCACTTTGACACACAAAAGCAAGTTAATACTAACATCCACAACATTACATTCTGTCATGGGATACCTCCAAGATAGCCTTTAGGGGAAAACAGTGATTTATCTAATTTATCCTCAGTGTGCTAAATAGACAAAAACTGACCTATGAATATTTTTATTATTAAACCTTTTAAGCAACCAAGTTTAGTCAAATAGATGAGAAATAATCATTAAATACATTTAAGTGTTATAAACATGTTGTCTGTATCAGCCCAGAGACAGGAATTGAACATGGAAAATTAACATAAAGAATTATTAAGTTGGTGAAAGGGGGTTAATTGCTGGGGGCTAAAGACAACTTTAAAGTACAAGTCAGCAGACTATGTCTTTGGGCCAAATCTGGCTGTTGCTTGTTTCTGTGACTAAAGTTTTATTGTAACCTTGCCATGCCCATTTGGTTACTTTCAGGCCTGGCTGGAGAGTGTGGTTGTGGCTTCATGGGATGGGTGAAGCTTGCTGAGGGTGCCACAGGCTGGAGCAGGTGGTCAGGGAACCACCCAAGGGGTAGCAGTGGGGCTTCCTGAAGGGTGTGCCCCTGGATCTCCCGGAGAAGGCCCTCCTGCTGCCATGCGGTAGGAGCAAAATTGAGAAAAACTCCAAACCAAAAAACACAGGCACCTCAGAAAGCCGTTTCTCAGCAGCACCCTCCACTGTCAGGGCTCACCTTGTGTCTCTGCCTTGGGACAAACAGTCTGAAGGAGCATGGACCTTACTTGGAGGGAATGGAGCTGAGTGCCCTCAGGAAGGGGAAGGAGGATGGGTCCAGCTGAGCGGTCAGCCCTGCCCAGCACATGCCTATGCCTGTGCCCAGGCTGTCACAAAGGAACAGAGCCTCCCTGCCCCTGCTAATGTGGCAGACACCATGTAAGCCAGGGGAGAATGAGGTGTCTATCTCATTCTGCAGTATTTGTCCATCTGACCTCTTTATAATGGGATTTATGAAAGCTGTGTGCATATTTGGATTTTATTAGGAATATGGGCATGGTTCCTAAGGAAAATGTTGTTAATCATCCATTCATTTTGCCAGTAAGCATTTATTCACTGGTTCCCACATGCAGTGTGACAAACAGAAATAAAGGAGTGAATCACTTTTTAAAAATTGAATTAAAATATTTTGGAAATATTTTTATTTCCTGGGGCAATTCTTTAAAAATAATTACTTTGTATAAATCTCCTTTTGCCTTTTGTGAATGTAGAAACATTTTAACATTACAAATGTTTTATAGGAATTACCTACACTTTCACTATTAAATATTAGCCTTTCACTATATAGCTTTAATTGTTTTTGATTTTTGCATATTTGTAGTCCCTGTCTGTAGCACATATTTTACTTAATTATGATAATTGTGCACTTGTTTAGGTATTGCTTTTTTTCGTAGCATGTCAAAACATCTTTGTAGAGTCCAGTTAAATCAAGTCATTGAAATTAAATATGAGCATTTATACACACATTAGAGTTAGCTGACTTCCACATCAGACAACTCCAGAATCTCAGTGGCTGAACACAGTAGATGTTTCAGTTCTTACTCATGGGTATTTCATGCCTGTTTTAAGCAGGCAGCATTCTGCGGAGTAATTAGGGATTCAGACTCCTTCTGTCTTAGGGCTCCATCCTCTCCTCAGGCCTCCCAGTCCACTGCTGGGTCCTGTGTGCATGGCTGGCAGAGGGACATAGCGGGAGAGAACACGTGGAAGTAGGGGGAGGGTCAGGTGAGGCATTGGCTACCTCCTTTCTGCTTAAATTCCATTGGTTAGAAGACAGTCACTGAACCACAGGGAGGTGGGCAAATGGTGTCTACCTGTACTGGGAAGAAAAGGAGACAGGTTTTGGGAACATATAGCAGCCTTAGTTGCAGTTGCCAATTTAGATGCCACATACCAGATGTCTTTAATATAGGTCCTATATATAAATTGTCATTTTAAATATATATAGCATTTATTGAGATTATATATGTTAGATGATTTTTTAATTAATAGTTTCAAAAATAATCTTGTAGCAACTATTGATATAATGGTCTTAGTTACTTCTGATAACATCATATATACACACACACGCACACACATCCTATATATTTTGGCATTTGGCATACTGTACTATAGTTGAATATGTATCTTTATTCTCAACCTAGCCCAGTTGGTGCTTTGCATTCGTAAAGTGATCCATAAACATGATGGAAATGATGGACAATAGATAAAAGAGATTTTAACTGAAAAGACTAACTTTGAAAATAGCTAGAAAAGGCATGTTCTTTTTTCTTTGACTACTTCCTACCTTTTTCTTTTACTCAATGTCTGTTAGTGATGGACACCCCCAGCCCCTAGAGTTCACCTAGAAGCACAGGTTAAGTAGTACCTTTTCTCCTCTCCCATGCTTGCCTGATTTTGGCCCATCGCATTCTTTTTCTATGTTTAGATATCTACACTACATATGTAAGTGTATATATTTTGGTATAGACAGGGATATTTTGAGACTCAGAGAAGGGTTCTTTGGAACCTTATATGACATAATGAGTACTGTGGATGCATTTAGGCCCTGGGCCAAGAAGGAATGGTATCATGGCTGGAGCTGTTCTGGGCTTCCAGGCTTACCTGCCAGGCCATGGCTGAGTCCCTAATCAGGGTACCTCAGGCAGACCCTAAACCTTTGAAGGGGACAGATATAGTCAGGGGTGACCAGAGAAATGACTGGAAGCTCTGCCAGAATGCAGAGCTTCTTTGTGCTTAAATAATTGAACATGTATCACTCTGAATAGACAAATTACCATGAAGCATCTTTTGTCCCTTTGAAAACAAATTTTATTTGTATTTCTATATGTTTTTGATAGCAAAACTAGCATACTGTAATTATAGAAAATGCAAAACGCAGAATAGAATGTATTAAGTTCTTTTATCTTAGGAAATGGCATTTGTTTATAAGAATGTCTCACTTACCTTTTTGCCTTCCAGGCAAAGCCAAAGCTAATTGAGCCACTAGACTATGAAAATGTCATTGTCCAGAAGAAGACTCAGATCCTGAATGACTGCTTAAGGGAGATGCTGCTCTTCCCTTATGATGACTTTCAGGTAAATAACTTTACATTTCTGTCAATAGAACCATGTACTTGGTCTTCACCAGTAAATATTTTTCTATTTATTGTTTGGTTAATATATGATTTTTAAAAGATGAAAATAAGATGTTATTTAAGAGAGAAAAGTTATGTCATATTCTTCCAAGCATTTCTTCATGAATTGATAATTTTTAATGATATTAACTTTGCATATTAATTATATATGTTCAAAAATGTGTATATGTGTTTTATTGAGAATAAAAAAGTACTACACTCTGGACTGATTTAGTGGGTACAGTTGCCTCCTATGTTGTAGGAGTTTTGTTTAGATTTAAATTTTGATGTAGATATATTGGCCGTACACCTTAGGGTCTTAAGGCTGGGTTTCATTGGGGAGCAGTGGAGGTTTTTGTTGTGCAGTCTTTTAGGATGGTACTTTGGGAGCCTGCCCTGAGAGGCCATGAACTGTGTGTGGGCTCCCAGTGAAGGGTTTGCCAGGAGTGTCATGACATCACTCTAGTATAAAGTAGGTACTCTTCCTTGGAGGAAACATGGAGGACTCAGCACAACTCCTTCTGTGAGCTGTTCTCCAGATTGAAACTTTAAGTCTTTCAGGCTGTGGCCTGTGACTAAGTAACCAACAAGAAGCTTTGAGGCTATTGAGAAGTGAGAATAACATTCTTCCTCCAGGAAATCCAGTGGTGATAGATGCCTGGCAACTTAGAGTCACCTTGGTCTATTTGGAGGTTTGGCTTACTTCCTTTGGTCTCCTGGGACCAATCCTGTCTCTTCCATCTTCTCTACCTCAGTGTTCTTACCTGGACACTTCTCTGCGTGATGCTGTTTCCATCTAAGCTCTATCTTCTGTGAACTGATCTACCTTATTTTTTAAGCTTCACTGATTCTTTCTTATTTAATTCAAAAAGTACTACATACTTGTACAGAAAAATAAATGACAGATTAAATATTGAACTAATTGACATTAAAATCTCCTCCCCACCTTTCTAATCCCACTCTTCAGAACATAAACTACTCCATATGGTTCCGTGTATACTGAATTATCTTTAGGAAACTTCCATGTTAATAACAATTATAATCCTTGAAGTTTTTTTTCGCTATCAAATTTAAGAGATTCTAGTTTGTAACAGAGGTGAGAATTTTCACAGATGTTCAGTGTAATTTGTTAGAGATATGTGGGCAGAAAAATTATTATTCTTTACCCCTTTCCTGAAAAAAAGGAATGCCATGGGAATGAAATTGACCGTTACTGTGATATTGCTGCCCGTGTATGTTGCACTGGTAAATGGGTTCAGATCATGCCAGAAAATACCCTCTCTGTCCTTTGAAAATTTCATTACATGAATAGACTACACAGGAAAGGACAAATAAATGGGAACCTCAGAATAATACCCTTTGCCTGTGATTTGGCAACAAATGAGAAACAAAATCAAACGATTGTAAATTTTACTCCATGTTGACAAGTTTTTCCTATAGTATTCTCTGAGGAAGCTAAAGGTTATCTCGGGTTTCTGTGAGCATGAAGTATATGTTCTTCTTGGTAGTAATTAGAGCAACAAAGTTTTGTTTTGTTTTGTTATTTTTGAGTTTGGGGCCTGGAATGTAAAGTTAAATTTGTAGACCTGAGATAAAATTGCTTAAGAAACAAACCAAATAAACAAGATACAGATAATTTAATGTCATTTTTTTATCCCAGGGACAGGATACCTGGATTTTAAGCAATTGTAGAATCAGACAATTAAAACCCTGAGAAAACCCTTTTGTCCTTTTTTTGCTTGTAACTACTTTTCTAGTGGTATCAGGCACATGTATCCTAGGAAAGGCCAAGAATGAATGAGCAAGTGTTATTTTCTGTTTGGGAGAAGTTTTCCAAACATTAAGGAGCTTGAATTAAAGCTTTGATCCCTATTGTAGGAATTGTGATGGGCCCCAATTAAGTTTGCGTACAATTACTTGTTTTCTTACAGATTCCCACTTTCTCATCAGGTAAAGCCAATTACACTATGCTTTCTTGCTAAATTTTCTTGGTGATGTTATTAGCTATCTAATTAGCTGAATGAGTAAAAGGTCTTAATGATGCCAAGACCTTTTCCTTCTCCAACAGAGTTCTTCTCTGTTTTCTTACAATAAGAACAGACTTAGCATTTTATTAATAATTGGAGGCAGAGGGAACAAATTAGATCAGGAGAAAATATTTTATTTCATACGGAAAAATAGTAGCAAGTAGGCTAGGAAAGGGGTCAAATAGTGAACAAAATGCATGCTGAGGGGTGATTTACTGCACTTAAATTTTTAAGTGTGGATGGTGATGATGCATTTGTACATTTCTTAAGCAGGGCACTTGTTGATCTTGAGCCCTTATCGCTCGGGTCCTAAGGACTGCTGAATGTTCTCTGAAAATGAGTTGTATGGAAAAAAGATTTGTTGGTTGGATATTCACCTAAGGATGGGAGAAGAATGTTTAAAATTAAAAAAAGAGAGAGAGATGAAATAAATGTAAATTAAAAAAAATCAAAACAATAATTCCCAACTCTCAAAGTATTTATGAAGTATTATCTGCCATGGCCAGGGACAGGAATGCACAGGTAATACAGCCATCACTGGCTTCTTTTGTTAGACTCAGACCCTAGTGCCTGGGGATCTGTCTTTGCCTTGGTGTCATGGTTCTTCTTGCCAGCAGTGTCTTCTCTTCTCAGTCCGTCTCACTCTTTAGAGGTCACTTGAAATCTTGCATCCTCTGACGCTATTGAAGTCCACAATGACTTGTTTTCCCGTTCTCTTAATTCCTCTACTACTCCCTGTCTACATTGGATATGTTAACACATCAGTACATTGTCTCAGTCCTTTACTAACTGCTTTGTGCATCTGTGTGGAGGTGTCACCCTGGGCTGTGGTCCTGAAGAGCACTCAGCGCTGGGTTTATGCCTGTGTCCACCCATCTCGGCGCGCACATGATCCCTAGCACGCTGGGTACTGGGGTTGAATACCTGTTACGGCATTACAAATTGGTAAAATTATTATGAATGTTAGGTTATTTTTCTTTGATTCCTGAAGTAAATATTAATACCATGTGGTATTAATATTTACGTGGAAGTCCCGGTGACTAGATTTGTAAAAATGTTTGCCAGATCCATGATTTGGTTTGGTGAAATTAGATAATTTCTGAAATTAAAAAATTCAGGGGAAACATGGTCTGAAAAGGAATATACTTCGAAGTGATTAATGAACTTTTAGTCTTAAAATTTTGTGGCCTTACCAAATTTACTTGACATAAGTCTGAGAACTTACTTTTGCATGAGCAAAATTATAGGTAAACTTTAATAGGCAATTAGACAGAGGTGGTAACCTTTAGATTAATGTATTATATCAAGAAATGTAAGTTGACTGGCTGCTTGAGAAACAGCAAACTTTTGTAAAACTGAAAGTAATACCTTTCCAGCCAGAGACAGAATCTGGGGTGGGGCCTGACCATTGATTTCCAATCATGATTCTCCTTCAAGCGGAAGTCCTTTATCAGGTGATTCTGTTGGTGGTGATATTCTTAACTGTTGCCATCAATCCACTGAATCTTCATCTGGCTTTTAAGCTCCCTGTATCCTGACTTGTTACACAACTTACTAATGTTTGTGCCATTATGTAAAGTGGTAGAATATGAAAACGGTAGTAAATAGTAAAGGGTGTTGGGAGGCAATTTATGGATATTATTTATATTTCATAAAAATTAGACTTTGGTATCTGGTATAAACAAGGGATAGCATTTGTGTGGAAGGATAACAAGAGCATGTTGTATCCACTTCTGAGTATATGCCCAAAAGACTTGGAAGTGGGGACTAAAGAGATACTTGTGCTCCTATGTTCATGGCGGCATTATTCACAATAGCCAAAAGGTAGAAGCATCCCAAGTGTCCATGGAGGGACAAAAGGATAAACAAAACGTGGTATTTACATACAGCAAAATATTATTCAGCCTTAAAAGGGGAAGGAACTCCTGTCACATGTTAAAATATGGATGGACCTGGAGGACATCATGCTTAGTGGAATAAGCCAGTTACAAAAGGACAAATACTGTATGCTTCTGCTTATCTGAGGTCCCTAAAGTAATCAGATTCAGAGAGACAGAAAGTAGAATGGTGGGTGCCAGGGGCAGGGTGAGGGGGAATGGGAAGTGAGTGTTTAAGGGGTGCAGAAATTCAGTGTAGGAAGATGAAAAGAGTCCTGGAGATGGATGGTGGTGATGGTTGAACAGTGAGAATGTACTTATTGCCACTGAACTGTACACCGAAAAATGGTTAATATGGCAAATTTTATGTTTTGTATATTTTGCCACAATTAAAAAGAGTGTGCCATTATAGGATTTCTGTGCTATATTTATGGATGCAAAACTGTTGTCTTAGAACTAAGTGCAAAGTCAGGGTGAGGAGTGATTCCTCAGGTACTTTTTCTACTGATATTCATGGTGCATTATCAATATCAGTGTCTTAGCAGGAGAATTTAAAAGGAAAGATGGAAATACAGAGCAAAGATTATTAAAAATTGACAATCCTAGAAATTTTCCTTTTTGGAGATATTTAGATACAGGAGAATCCTAGAGTGTTCTCAGCATTGTATAGAAAAATGTGGTTACTCCATTTCCCTTTCAATAACATCCTGATTTTTATTTTCCCTCTGGTTCTTTTCCTCTTCTACTTACATGATACTGATAATGATCTACAAACCACTGGCCTGGAGAGGAAGCCAAGCCCTGCTACTTACAAAGGCCTGGAAGTCACTGATCTCATTTCCTATCTGTCCTTTTGAAAAGAAAATATTTTTTTCATGGTGTTTTGTCCTTACTTTTTTATTATATGCTGCCAAAAAAAAATCCAAAAAAACAAAAAACACCCCAAAAACGTCAATACTTTGTTTTCGGCTTTTTATTGAAAAGTATTCTTTTTATAAATTCCTCGAAATTTTTATGAGTTGTAATTCAGTGGCCAGCAATGTAACTTTCCGTGAACA